GATCTGCAGTTACGTAATCATCACGTTATCAAAGAGCGCTTGGGTTGAACTGGTTTCCCTCAAAGATGACTGCAGCTGGAGAACTGAGATGTATAGATTCCGCTATTGCGTCTGTTGTAAAAGAAATCGACTCATTCATTTTAAAAGACGAACAGAGAACTGCAATCAAGGCATTTGTCGATCGGAAAGATGTGTTTGCCGTCCTTCCTATGGGATTCGGCAAAAGTTTAATTTATCAACTAAACGCTTTATAGATGGTCGCTATAAAGATGGGACGCAATGAAAACCCTGTGGTCGTTGTGGTTTCTACTTTGGTCGCACTCATGGAGGACCAAGTAAAAGAAGCAACACTCATTATTTTACTACTTCTTCCAGCGTGCGTGTAGTTGAGTTCTGTTGACAACTTTGCGTAGCTCATAAAAAAAAACACTTTTTGCGTTGCTCTGATTGGATGTAGGTCTATCCAATTGAGTGCAGAGTTTATTTTTCCCCTGGTTCGGTTAAGACACGCCTCATAATCAAAGCCCTATGGAGCAGTATCAGACTCACATTCTGACTAGAATATGAGTATGATGAAGTCAGGCTAGCAAATATTCAGTGAGTAAAAAAAATTACATAACATTATTTAATATTTGAATCACAGCTTATATAGTGTTTTGACATCGACAACCCAACTGCATTTTACCTCAAACTTGCGACTAGTTAACTTTCTAAAGAAGGCGCAATTGCTTCTCGTGTCGACATTAACACTGACAAAATTGTATTCAGAATTAAAAATGTTTTTTTATAGCACTTTTTAATGTGTGATTGTGTAAAGGTGTTCACGAGATACCAACCTTTCGCAAACTTGCTTTCAACGAACACTCATTTTCATGGAGACGCGGTGTGCAAGGAGGGGAGGGGCTGTGTGTGTGTGTGTGCGTGCGTGTGCGAGTGTATGTGAGAGAGACGCGTGAGTGACAGAGAGACGGAGGGAGAGCAGTTAAAGGAAATGCAGCTGAACGAATATGTTGCTCTTACGTTATTTGCTCTATGAAAGACATTGACAAAGACGAAAACTAAGGACATTTACTCTATAATTTTATTTTATTTTAGTTAGTTTTGCCAAACATACATTACTGTTTTAGTTAGTTATAGTTTTTTTTGTAATGCCTCATTTTTATTTTTATTTCAGTTAACGACAATGTTTTTTCCCCCCTAGTTTTCATTTTTAATTATAACCTTTATAACCTTGATTTGGTGCCTTCTTGGCCGAGGAAAGACAGAAAGTAACTTTAGGGCGCATTTGTATGAAATCCACCACAATCCACCACATTGCACAGCTCCGCAAGCAACTCCCACTAATCCAGAAGAGCGCCTATGATCATCCGCCTATCAGGGAAATCACTCTTCCGTCTACAAGGCAGCTACCACCAGAGCTTGAAATTCATTTCACACTAAATTTCTAGTTAGATGGCGAACTCATTTGTGAATTACTCCTCATTTGTGTTTCTTTCGAAATGGTGAATTATTGCATGTTACTGGGATGTTCAGTCAGAACAAATGCGGTGCGAAACTAGGATGGTTCACTACACAAACGTCCGTGTCCTTGTCTGATTCAGAGATTTCGTCCAGGAGAAATTGGCATCGTTGAAATAGTTTGCAGCAGACGGACTCTATCTCTATGTCCGTAGGCGCAGTGAGAGCACAGGCACCAGCAGACCGCCCCAGCTCGAGCCAGTCCGGGCTCCTCGTCCGCGACAGGCAGCCGCCTCCTGTTCCTCCATCAGCCTCAGATGCTCTTCGCTATATGCGGCTCGAAAAAGTAGCCACGAACATCTGATTCGAGCATCAGACTTTCGAAATCCTCTTCTTCCATATCATATTGAGTACAATTCGCCATTGTCGTAACTTTACATCTGGCTTCACAGCCCGTTCTCATCCCAATGCGTCATACATGTGACGCTTTGGACATTTCGTCGAAATCTTACGCACATGGCATCCTTTAGCGTCAATATGAGACGCAGAACCCAAGGCGTCATACAGGTGACGCTCGTCTAAATCCAACGCACGTGGCATCCTTTAGCGTCAATATGAGACGCAGATCCCAAGGCGTCATAACCGTAACCCTACCCCAGACCAAAACCTACCCATAACAGTGTGTGTTATATTGACGCTAAAGGATGCCATGTGTATAAAATTTCGACGAAATGTCATATGGCGTCACCTATATGACGCGAAAGGATGAGAATGTGTTGGGCTTCACAGCTCCTGTTAGCTTAGCTTCCAAACAAGATGGAGTATATTGTTTTTAGTTTCAGAAAGTGAAGTCCAACCCACTGATCTGTAATAGGTCTGTAGCGTGAGTGGGTACCACCCCCCTGGGAAAATAAGGAACAAGTGTTTGTAGTCTCAACCCCTCTACCAAGATATGGGACTTCCTGCTTAGAATGACGCAAAATGACAATTTTTACATCATTATAAGCAGGAACTGCTAAACTGAAATCCTTATTTCACCAGTCTCAGGGAAAAATGAGGGAATAATGCACGACCATTCAAAAATTTGACTGGGTTTCTTGCGATACAAAGCTTTATAGCTCTATTTCTTTTTGCCGGTCCATGCTTGTTTACTTTAAAGTCATGTTTGAAGTGAGAAATTTTGCGAGATTCCCTGTGTTCGCAGGCGGGACTCTGGTTGTTTGTGAATGGAATCTGTTAGTGTGTGGTGTGCCTTATGATTCATCTATGATTTCTTATCGTCATGTTTGTGGTCTCTCACATTTTGAAAATCTTATAAGATTTATTAGCCTCAGTCATTTAGTTAGTTTTCCTTTGTTCTCAGTTTCCTGTCACTAGTTTGTCACCTTGGTTACTCATTAATGAGATCCAACTGTTTGTAGTTAATTATCCTGTGTCTATTTCAGTTCCTTCATTATCTGGTGTTAAATGTGTTTAAGTGCACACTGTTCTGTTGAAACCTCTGTGGCTTACCTGTATTTACTTTTGTTTTCAGATAGTTTTTTATCTAAAACCATCTTCTGCCTTCGTCGTCTTTGGACCTATAGTGTATTTTTGTCTTGTTATTCAGAAAATATGTATACATCCTTTAAATTTACTTAAAAAACAACATTGATTTGTATAGTTTATTAAACACTACCATTCAAAAGTTTGGGTAGGTAAGTCTTTTAAGCTCACATGATCGCTCAGAAATCATTCTATTATGCTAATTTGATGCAAAAACATGTTGAAAGTTGTTTTTGCTGATTAATATTTTTAGTGGAAACATTGATTCATTTTAAAATTGACAGCATTTTTTTTAAAACATAAAACTTTTATAACATTAAAATACCTTTAGGTTTACTTTTGATCGATTTAATGCATCCTTGCTAAATAAAAGTATTGATTTAATTATTTTTTAAAACTTTATTGACCCCAAACATTTGAACAGTAGTCTATTTATAACAATAAATGTGTCAATATATAAACAAAATTAAATTTATTTCAAGATATATTCTGACGAACTAGTAATATCTTTAAGCTTTTCAAATAAATTTGTATTTCTAAAGATTTTTGATTTATTTCCCCCCCCCCCCCCCCCCCCCCCCCCCCCCCTGAAAAACAAGGTAAAATGCACCATACCTGTAATTACCTGCTCCAATTGCTTAAGTTGTAACAAATTGTTATTAATGTGTGGGTTTCATGTTATTAAGAAAGTTAGTCTGGTAGAAGTATCTGTTAGCCTTGAACTAGAGAGATCCTAGAACCATAATGAACTACTAATATAGAGATGCACCCAAATGAAAATTCTCGGCCAAAACCGAAAATGAAAATGATTTTTTTTATGATTATTAATTTCTTATTTAAAATGATTTATTTAAAATTATAATTGTATTAATATTAGACTTTTTAATTAAATTCAATAATTTTATTGAATCTGAATTTAATAAATACAAGCCAATAAAATAAAATAACTACACTTTTAAAGTAACACACCAAAATTTGACAGAAAATATATTAAAATAATATCATATCAATATATTATTCTTCATTCAGTTCTATGCAACAGATTCAGATTTAACAGATTTATTTTTTGACCAGTTATTCAATTTAATTCAATTCACATGTATTTGTATAGCGCTTTTCACAATACATATTGTTTCAAAGCAGCTTTACAGAAAAACGAAAATTGCATTTTTTCGGCGGCCGAAATTTTGGTGCATCCCTAAATACTAACCCCATTTCCAACCTTAATACTGTAGAGTGAGATGCTTGGATGTTCCTGCGGGAGTGTAATATAAGTGTCTTTGGATAAAATGCTCACGGCTCTTCTGTATTTCAACATTTCTGTCAGCAGAGTTCTGGAGTGCTCAGATTCTCTGTGCCCCAGATTCTTATGTTGTTGAATTTCAACCTATTTTATGGGATTTTGAAAACTTTCACCAGATCTAACAAAAGCTGTTCAAAGCACAATATAAGCCTTGTAGAGGAAATGTGCCACAATGAAATGGGAATCCACTGAAATGGAAATGGGAAATGAAACCTAAAATCACTTTTTCATTCACATGCCTGCACCCATGACTGATTTTTACCACAGAAGTTTTATGTTTCAGAAGATGTTTGTAAACTATAAATGAGCAAAAGATTTTTGATGTTTTTCAATATTATTTTATACTTCATGTCGCTGCACAGTATGGGGTGTAGTGGGGGGTTTGGAATTTGTAGATCAGTTTTATGTGAGAGATTTTACCGATATCCATGCTGATATCCATGCTAAGGTCAAACCTATGTGCAATTTGAGATCAGATATTGATTGAAGCCCTATTAATATTCTTAGTGTTTTAGGTCATATTGCATAACTTTTTAACCATGTAATGAATTACATGTCATGCAATGAAGAAGTGACAGATCTGTCCGTAGATGTTCAGAATAAACATTATATAAACTAGTTACAGTATCTGCCTTAGAAATGTAATATGGGGATTGGTCAATAACCAGTGTGATATATGTATTTTTTCCCCCAGATAATGTGTACAGAGAATGTCTGGCTAATGGGACCTGGGCAAAGAAAGGAAACTACTCCCAATGTCAGGAAATCCTCAACGAGGAGGTATGTGGTTGCACATACACATTATACATATTATACATCGTGATAATCTTCACAAATGAACACAACTTTTATTAAGTTTGAAGTGTAAATATAATCGGCAGAAGTCAAAAGCTAAACGTAGTCTATAAACAAACTACACCACGGTCGCATGGCTTCGACGTCACTATCACTAAGTTTCTGACAACACTTTCAGTCTTTGAGAAAGCAAACTAGTGAGTAGATGAGTTTATCTGTTCGGCTGATGACATTTAATGTCTCCAACAACCTCTGTTTAGACACTTTTACAAGACAAGTAAAAGTTTTTTTTTTTAAATCACACGAGGGTATTTTATATAGTTGATTATACCATGCATGGTCTGTCTGAATACTTGATTTTGATAGTTAGTTCCAAGTCAGTTTAATCACTGTTCTGTATAATGCGCTGTTTTCATTGAAGCGTGCACACACATATGTCAATCGCACACAGAGTGCGGAGATTGCGCTGCCCAGATAGAAACATTCAGGAGCACAGAAACTTATCAACGCTGCCCTGGACTTGTATTAATACAATTGTTTCGCTACTGAAGTGTAACATCACTGGTTTTGAAGTAATTAAACTCACTCCTTTTTTTGTTAATGGAGATAGATGCTGAACAGACGCAGGTAATTCACACACACTTTAATTCAATTCATTAATTCAAATAAATGTAATATACGCACTACTTTGTCTCTGTGATCTGATTTAAAGCAGGCAGAATGCTAGATCTAACGAGCCGTAACTGACAAAAATAACTGTACATTTTACCCTTCCGGACAAATATTGTGCTGCAAACATCAATAACAGCTTTAAGTTGTCAATGCTGGCAAATGACAATGGTATAAGCGGGATAATCCGCGCATTGCGTTGGGTGGTTTGGGTGGTCCTCATTGTTGTGCATTAAAATTGTTTAATGCACAGCTAGCCATGGATTATCCCTAAAGCCGGGTGCACACTGTGCGATTTATAATTGGCCGTGATTTGGCCAAATCACGGCCAAAATCGTACAGTGTGCACCCGGCTTTACATAAAATGTGAAAATGTCATGAGCTTGTGTTCACCACGGACCTTATTTCAAGCATTTAACCCTTTGACGCGTACGATCACACCGGTGTGATCAGTCTTGGCTGGTCCCTGGAGCGTACGATCACACCGGTGTGATTAGAACGGTCAGTGCATCACGTAATCAACTGCTAAATTCAAACGTGCTTTCGCGCGTTGGCTGGCGCTGAGCCAGAGACAGACGCACTCAGTGCTGTCATATATCACAACTATTGAGTATTTTAAACCACATAATGTTTATTTTAGGTTTCAGACATTTAAATACACATAAGTACTAGCAAAACAGTGATTTTGAATTAGTAAAATAGACACTGATGTCTATGGAAACGGCAACAATAATCATTTCCATTATAATAAGACAAAACGTTTTATTCATATCAGATACACATTGTGTAAGTAGCTTTACATTTTACCCTATTCTTCTCCTAGTTCACCGGCCACTTACTTTCATGTATTTCGTGAGAAACAACAGGTCCGATTCTCTGAACTGTGAAACAAACTAACATGGCGCCGCCCATCGTGCATACAGCTCAACTAATGCGATCGTTATAAATATGTTTAAACAACAAAACACATCCACTTGCACATATTTGACAATCGGAATATCAGTGTTTCATGCTGTAGCTAATACATTTGTGAATATTTTGAATAGAAAGGGAAAAAAGACATAAAAGCAGATCATCACTCATTCAGCTCTGTGTTGTGATTGCGCTGTGTCACGTGACAAGAAATGACGCGTCACCATGGAAACATTAAAGTGACAGGTTCTAAATAACGGTCGCCTTGAAAAACTCACGCTGGGGGGTCAGTTAGAATATTTTAAACTTACGTGTGAAAGGGTTAACCAAAAACCCATACAAAAACCCAATTGACTTTAGGATGATGAAACCGGAAGTGCTAAAATGCTAAATTGTTTCTGGGTTTTGGCCTTCAAACATACATCATCCCATCACTCTATAAGGTTTTAATTGTATCATAATATGGTTTTTAGTTGAAGGATTTGGATGAAGATGAAAAAAAATCCATTTGAACATCTTTGTGCAAAAGGTCAGATGTTCTTGCTTTGCGTAGAAGTACATGCTACTCATTATATAGTTTGCCGTAAAAATGATTCTATTAAATAAGAGTTAATAGTGTGTGAAGCATTTTCACGTGTGGCCTTAGACATTTAGACTCCATACATACAAACCAATGCAAAAAACTTTGCTTACTTTGCTTTGCACTCTGGATCAGTTAGTTCCCATTTTTACTACGTTTAGACTTTGTGAATCTAATGTAATGTGAAGGTTAAAGTAGTGTTGTTGAAAGAGTGACACTTGTCATGTTTTCAGGATAAACTGAGGCATTTACCGTTCTTCAGGGGCGGACTGGCCATCTGTGTGATCTGGAGTATCACAGAACGGCCGGTACTCCAGGACGGCCGGCGGGCCGGCCCACCACCCGCCACACACGCAGTCATAACCTGTTTTTTCCCCCCACTAATCTGTTTCACACTCCAGTACTGTAGGTGGCAGCAATGCACCTTTAAGTTGGATGCCAGCGCGGAGCATTATCAGCTCGGCCCAAAAAAACTGCGATCGCGGCCGAAGCAGCTGTGCGGACTGATCTCGATCACGCGAACATTATTACACAGAGTTGCGCGATCCACTGAGAAGCATTTCAATTCAGCGCAGAATTCTCTATCTCTATTATAAACCCACAGATGGCTGTGATTTAAGCTAGTTAAAAGCCAGATTAAACAGCGCTGATATTCTCAACATCTTGACGCAAAAAAAACAGGTGAAACATTGTTCCAAGAACAAACCAGTTAGAAGACATTTCACTCCACAACTTATGAATTAACTGTAACTTAGTAAAACAAACTTTTTTGGCAGAAATGTGCCTGTATTCATATTAAAAATGCTGTTATATTAATAGTCATATAGGCCTATAAATGTAGGCTATTAAATGTAATGCAGTAATGTTTTTGTTTAGAAGTTATGGCAGTTTATTTATTTATTTTGCATTAAATATTTATACTAAATGTTTATGCTACAATAGGTTTTTAGAGAATAATATATATATATATATATTACACATTTTTCACCAATTGTTGAACCAGAATATCAAGATATTTTATTATTTCGCATATGATGGTGAAAAATAAAAAAGTTAAAGTTAAAAGTAAAGGTAAAGGTAAGGTAAAAAAAAACACCACCATGTTATATGTATAATAAATATTTTTGAGTATAGCCCTTCTAGATTATTTTATCCCTTGAGGTAGCCCTCACACACAAAAAGGTTGGAGACCCCTGGTATAAAGTAACTAAATGTTTTATAATTACAAGTTTGTGTAATTAGGGTTTCTGTAGCCAGTGACATTTCATTATTTGTATTTTATTTTCAATGCAGATGTAATGGCATTGTACATTTTTTTGTTTTTATTTGAAGACTGAGGCTTCATTAATAAACAAAACCCCAATTGTCATCATTGTTTTTGAGATATTACTTGCTGTGAATACCTTGTCTGATATAGGTTACAGTATTGTGGCATAGTATCAGGACATCCTAGTGGCTAGGGGCGAATGGCTGGATGATGGGCCTATTTGGGAGAAAGTCCAGGGCTGTTTTTTAGCCCCAGTCCGTCCCTGGCGTTCTTCAATCAGAAAGCTCGCTGTAAGTCTCCAAAGACTGCACAATAGAATCAATGCATTCTTGTTGAGAGTTGTCACTTGGAATCTTTAGCAAGACTGTCATCCGACCTTCATGGACAGACATGGTTTGCTTTTTATTTGCGGCTTATCTTTATGCTGTTTTATGTGTTTCAAATGTCCCAGCTAGATGCTGGTTGGCAAAGTTAGTTGGATTCTTGGATATAAATAGCAAATGCACTCATAACTGGCTTTTTGGCTTCTAGAATTTAATTTTAGAATTTACATACATTTTCTTAAAAATAAAATACATATTTCAGTAAAAAAATAAACTTCTAAAGCCCCATATATATATATATATATATATATATATATATATATATATATATATATATATATATATATATAGGCTTCTAAAGCCCTATATATATGTCATTTAGTATAGAATATCCAAACCAATTGTAGTTTATTTGAACATCTTTGCAGGTGAATCTCTCTGAAACACAGACATGGCTGTTTGACAGAGACATTGATACTGCATGTCTACAAGATTCATTAGCTGCCCTTTGGTGTAACAGAAGTAACATGGGGGGGGGGGGGGGGGGATTAATAATGTATGGGCTTTTATCTTTCCTCAAAGGAAGCAATTTAACCAGGCATGCTAAGCCTTTGTTCACACAGGGCTGGCGAAAAGAGAAATCGCTCATTCAATCGTCCCAAGTCGGACGGAGGAGTGGGCTAGCAAGGATAATGCTCAGATTTATATGTAGACAGCAGGGAGGGCTTTCACCACAGCTAGTGGCTTACTGGAGCATGTGATTACCACTAGATGCTGTTTTTTAGCTAGAGATTTTTAGCTTCACTACTGAGAGCACCGTTGGAATTTATATGTATTGTATTTAAAACTAGAAGAGAGCCCCATTGTATTTAAAACTAGAAGAGAGCCTCTTAATCGTGTCATGCTGTTAGCATGTGATCTGCTGGAGGCTTTGTTTAGTAGCCTATTAGTAGCTACTCTTAATCCAGGCAAGTTGGATACTGTGGTGGTCATGCAGGAGATGCAGAGCAGGTTCAAATCTGTGTCTGGTCTTACCAGTAATTGTATTTCTTTAATAAGAAATGTATATATTATATTTTATATAATATATACAAATATAACTATAATATATTTTCTTAAAAATAGAGGAGACTGAGGCAATTTATTACACTTCGAAGTTAGTTTTGCCACAAAAATGCATCATTTACAGGATTTTTTCTGCAAATATTGATATATGTGATTAATTGCAATTAAT